GGTGTAAAACCTTAGACCAATCCAGAGTGGAGTGCCTTTGACACTTGAATGGCGCCTTGTACGCCTCCTTCCGGCAACTCATGGAGCTAAGCTGGTGGGAAACACATTGTTCTGCTTTTCTTTGGGCCATATCAGTGAGGCCAAGAGGAGGGTCTTGTCATCTGGGTATCCCAGGACAATATGGAGATACACACTACCCAGGCTTGTGCCCCGGGGGAGGTCACTTCAGAGCTGCGTGGTTTGAGGCATACTCTGTTGTCTCTTGAGACAGGCGGATGCCAACAAAGGTGAGAGAAACTCTCAGTGAATCGTACGGAGATGCCTTAGACATCACGGATGAGCGAGGAAGGACCAGACGCACAGGTGCCGTTTTTATTTTATGCTGTGGCATAAAATGCTCTGGGCACTGCTGGACTGCCCCACCTTTCCGATAAGCCTTGCGTGGGGCTTTGAAGATGAGCCCTCAGATGTAGACCTGCTCTCAAAGCGGATTATTTTGATGTTATTACACTACAGAAGCCGGCACAGAATATAAAGGCCGAAGAGCATTTTGAGCTCCCAGCATGCCCTTCGTAACTCCCTCCTCTCGCTGAGCAAACACGCTTCCCTTCAGTAGCGCCAAGGTCAGGCGCAGTCTCCTTCAGTAGTTTGACCTCCTGAGGGAGCCGCTGTCTCGAGTGACCTACCCTGTCAACAGTCCTCACTCCCCCTCCGGAAAGTGCACGACACAGACAGAAAGCGCTGACTAGAAAGGATTGTTTAAATATATTGGGGGCGGGGGGGGGGAGAATCAGAAGGGCTTGCCTTTGACAGAACTGCTTTGCAGCTGTGGCTGGGGGTCTGTTCTGCACACATGCCGGCGGATCGCTTAATTGCTTATCACCAAGCGTTTGGGGCAAAATGATCTTTCTTCATGAAGCATGAGTGTTGGGTTTGTGTGCTCGCCCCAGTACATTTTTATCCCGCTTTTCCTCCATGGAGCTGAAGGCAGGTTCTCCTGCACCTGACCCTGCCACCATTTCACCCTCACAACCACCCTGTGAGGTAGGTTAGACCGAGAGATAGTGACTTAACTCAAGGCCAGCCAGTGAATTTTGTGGCCTGGTGGGTATTTGAAATTAGGTCTCCTTGGCTTTCACCCAGCCCTCTGTAGCCACTACGCAGCATAGCATGGCTCCTGAGTTTAAAAGAGGGGCTTTAAAATGGCCACCTTGCAAGAGACATACATGGAGGGTGGCTTTGCTAACAATACTTTACTATCCTCTTAGGGTTTCTGCAGCTTCCTGGTGTTTTGTGTCTGCCCTGGGAAATCTGAGGTTATCTAATTTTGTTATTTCCTAAAGCACTTGAGGAGCATGCATGGGGTTTACTTATTTATTACATTTTCCTCCCCCAAAGGAGCTGAAGCTGGCTTGCATCGTTCACCTCAGTGGTCTTTTTCTAGAAAAAGAGGTGCCAGAACTCACCATGAACGCCTCTCTTGTTCTCTTAGAATGGCAATGGCGCCCACCTGAGGTGTGCTGGAACTGAGTTCTGGCAAGTTCCTGCTGGGGGGGGGGATAAGCCCTGGTTCTCCTCATTTAATCCCCACAATGACCCTTTGAGGTAGGTTAGACAGAAAACGTTCCCAGTGTCTGGCCCAAGGTCACCCAATGAGCTTCATAGCTGAGTGGGATTTTGAACCCTGGCCTCCCATGTTCTGGTCCACAAAGGCTCCTTTTTTATCCTGCTTGGCTACCGACAACCCCAGTTGCTTCCACATGACCTGTCCATTCAGCAGTTATCCTGATTGGAGCTCAGGCAATGCTATTCTGATTTGTTTTTGGACAGTGTTCTGCATTTTCCAGCTGCTTTCCTTGTGGCAAAAGCTCTGGTTTTGGGTGGGGGTGGAGCAGCTTGGTTGCCTCCCAATCGACTGTAATCACGCAGAGACTGAATCCCACCTGAAAATGGCGATGGCCTGGAAGCCCTCCCTTCACCCCCGCCCCAAGGAGGTGGGTTAAACTGACCCAGAGGGATGGTGACTCAAGGTCACCAACTGAACGCCGCAGCCGAGTGTGGATTCCAATCTATCGCGAGGACCTTCGACCGGTCCTTTTCCTCTGCCCACACCCCAGAGAGCTCCCTCCACCTCCCTGTGCTTACAAGCGGTCCCCAGAGCGGCAGGTGGCTCCACAGCACATCAGCGCCACCATCTCCGATGTGAAGCCTCATTTGCTTACTTGGCAGAGCCTGCTGCAGAGTGGCAGGGTGCCAGCTTTGACAATGTGCCGTTTCCTGTCGGGTTGGGCTGGAGAGAAAGAGAGCGAGAACGAGGGGAAGGGAGAGACATTGTTATGCTGCTTTTTCTTCTTTTTCTTCTTCTTCTTCTTCCCTGTGCTCCCTTTCGGTTGGTGCTATTGAAAACGTTCCCAGTGGGGGTGGAACGCCCTGGAAGTCTTGAGCGTGCAGTGGAGAATAAATTGGTTTTGTTCTCCCTGGCTCGCAATTGCCAGCCTCGCTATAAGAGCTGGGAAGGCAGATTTCGGCAGGCGGGGGGAGGAAGCGCACAATTGCCTTTGATGGTGCAGCTCCTTCAACCTGCAGGGACCCCTTGTCTCATCGCTTGGTGTTCCAGCTGTGTGTGTGTGTTTGGGGGGGAGAGACACACGGACGAGGGCAAAGAGGCTGGGGACACAGCCAGGGCATTGAAAGAGAGCAGCAGTTGGGTGAAGGAAGAGCTGCTGCAGAGGTGTGCACAGGGAAGATGAATGGACTCGTTGGAGACCTGAGGTGGAAAGGGGGAGAGGGGGAAATGGGGGCTGAATGCTTAAAGGGTTGTTGACGGAAAAGGCGGTCCTGTTCAAAGGATGAGCCTTTCTGGAGTGTGGCAGATGCAGTAGCTGGAGAATGGCTTCTGCTGATTTCCACGGAACAGGCCCTGGTGATGTTTCCTTGAAACAACCTGTGACCCTTCAGATGTGGCTGGACTGCAAATCCCATACTCCTTGACCACCGGCCATGCTTGCTGAGGCTGATGGGAGCCGGAGTCCAGCAATATCTGGAGGGGAACAGGCTTGGCATGAATCAAGAACAGCATCTTGCCACCGCCACCAGGGTAACGTTTGTTTGTTTTGCTCATGGCCGCCCTACCAAACTTCAGCCAAGGCATGGTGAAAGGTTAGATGCCTACAGTTCGAAGGAAGCTTACTATTGGGGGGGGGGACCATACTTTGACCAAGCCATACTTTGCCCAGTACAAATCCTGGCATTGCTTGTAAATGGATCCCTGGCCGAAGGGCTGAGAAACAGCTGAGATCTTGGATCGGAAGGAGAGCCCACTTAAAACTGCCCATTGACAGATAGCACGAGACTGGCAGATGTTTATATCAAGTGATGCATATGTCCCTGTGAACCAGGCCTTGATGATCCATAGGTAGACATGGCAACTGACTACACTTGTTCCTCGCTGCTGAAGAGACAAGCCGCTTTCTTAACAGATCAGTGGCTTGTTGCTTCCAGCTGAATACCCAGTTCTCAGCTATATACACATCTCCCTTCAATAAGCCCCACCTATACCCATTCTGGGTCTTTTAAGAATGTCCCCAGTAGGCTCATCAAACACAGGCACTCACTTTGGGGTCCAAATTAATTGTTTTCGGGGCAAATAAGGATAGAAGTACACTGGAAGGGATTTGCGTTTTTCCTTTAATCAGGGATACATGGCAATTGACTTCACAGTGGTAGTAAAGCCTCGTCATTTGTATCCATGGAGTGTTTTGAAAACCTTGAACCACATTCGTCCCAAAAGGCCTCAATTGTCACTAGCTGCTAGTTGTGCTGACCCCTCAGATTTCAGAATAGATACCCCTTTCTGTGGAAGGATGGGAGGAAATAACACTGTCTTAATAATTTCTCTTACCGCTTACATTATTGGGCCATGTGAACTGATTGCACCCTTAGTTGTTGCAGTATCCAGACCTGGAGCAGATGAGTCCGTTTACTGTGGGAGGACAATAACCGCATGGCTGCTCCCCCCCCCTTTTTTTTTTTTTGCTTTACCAGCTCCAGGTTGGCAGAGCAGAGAGGGCTGGATCAGGCCCATCACTGGCAGCTAGACCAGCATAGAATTCTGCAGATCCTTGGAAAGCTCAGCTCTGCCTTCTCCTCTGTGCCCTGTTTCGAGGCTTATGCGTCTTGCCTGTGCTTTTAGCAGATGCAGAATGGACCCAGGTGGAGGAACATGTCCACCACGTCTAAATACCTAGCAGAGTGGATTTGGGCGGGGGTTGGATTACCCTGTTGAAACCCCTTTGGACAAGAGCGTGGGTGGATCGTTGACCTCAACTGTAGTCTCTCTATGGGCAGCGTATCTAGCTACAGAGCATTGAACCCAGCCAAATATATCGCTTCCCTTCCCTGTTTCTTAATTTACTTCTTTGCGGGTACATTTCGAGGGAGGTGGCCTAGCAGGCTTGCACTATAATGGCTGCCGCCAGCATATAGTCTGGATCGTGGCCTTTATTGGCGGAGGCAAAAAAGGAAAAATAATCAAGCGCGTGTATCGGTGGGGGTGTCAAAAAGGATATGAAATACGGTGTGCGACTCCAGCGCATCCTTCCGAGACTTTGCCGTTCATGCCCTGTAGGCAACAGAAAACCTCCTGAGGAAGACGCCGCCTGCTTAATAAATGCCCCAAATTATCAGGCCCTCGTCTTGATTTATATCCCTTACAACCCGAATCCACGGCTGTCACTGTTACAGGCAAATGGCTTAATGGATGCAAATTGGAAAAAACAAAACGAAAAATTGCATTAGTAGAACGGTTAATAAAACATCATTTCTGGGAAATGAATCCTGACATTACTCTGAATTTAAGCAGAGGAATAGCAGTGGCTGCATTGCCTTGTTGGTATAGCTGCTATGTAATGCTGTCTTCATGTGTGGGATTTTTTACTTCTCTTTTTCTCTCCTTTTCATGTTATTTCTGCTGCCCTTCTGCTGTGGTCTGAATTATCCAGGAGGTGGAGGTTAGTACTGATATTTTTATATTTTTTTATAATTTTGTTTCATTTTATCATCACATCGTCTCCTTCTGTCCTCTACTGCAGCTCCTTCATTTTGGTTCTGGTTTATTTTGGAGGACCTTCTAAGTGGTTGAATGTGGTCTGTGAAAAATTGGCCAGTCATCCTGGCTCTGCATGTTTCGATACCTGCGTCCGTCTGCCTGTAGTGAAATCACTGGTGCCTGAACTGGCACAGCACAAAGGTTGCATTAAACTAAATCCAATTTTGCTATAAACCCACGTCAAGGAGGGTGTGCTTTAGAGCTGAATTAACAGCCGGGCTACAAGAATGAAAGAATCAACATGGCAGGCATCTCTTGCTGGGCGGACCATTTCAGACTTCCAAGGACATGAAAAAGTTCCTTGGGTAGAAAGCCTGAAAGGAAAAAGTGTTGTCTCCGACATGCTTGTTTTCTGTGGCAGGGAAATTTGAGCTGCTTTTTGTTTCTATACGGTAGGAGAACCCAAAATGTGATTTCTCACCTACAGACGGAAGTGGCCGAGCTCAGCAAGGGCTGTTGCCATGTGATTCTTCTGACTGTGTGGCTTGGCTAGGATGGCGCTTTCTAGGGCTTGGTACGTGGAGCACAACTGATATACTAGCTTTCTGTTGATTACCAGGAGGGAGAAAGGTGAGGTGAGGAGGTCGGCAGGGTGCAAATGCACCAGGATCAGCACCATGTTGGCTCTGCTGGTACTCCTGCACCGTGCTGACCTCCCTACTGCCTCCTCGCTCCTTCCCAGTGAACAGGAGCGATCAGCCTGCTAGGAAGCTAGCCCAGCAACTGCCTGGTGAACTACTTCTGCTTTCTTGAATCAGAGGTCTGGAATATATCAAAACAGGTTAAGCCCAACCCTCTGCTTTACACAGGGTCTTCCACGCAGGTAAGTCTCTCACTTGTAACACAAGTGTAGTCTGCATTTACATTTGACGCATGTACATAAATCCTGAGCATATAAGGAGAAAGGAGGACAAAATAAGGATCGCCCACCCACAGCCTCTCGAGAAGGCTGTGCAGGAGGCACACCCAGCCACACACTCTCATTTCTTCTGGAACTTTTGAGCTCCAGCTGAGTCTTTTCAAAAGCACCTTTTGCTGGAGCAAGGTGACTGGAGTGGGGATGCAGAACACGCCCCACACTCCTTTAAGGAGATTGTTGCCGCTAGTCAGAATATAAATCTCTTTTGCCCATATACTGCCTTTCCCCTTTCGCCCTCTCACACTTTGAAAACAATGGAGATTGCCTACCTTAGGCGCTGCCTGCTCCCTTGTGCTCCCTCACAGTCTTTAAAGTCACATGAATGAGTTGACACAGTCCTGCAGCTGCCCGATAAGCTCCAATATCTCTTGAGTGGTATAGCATGTGAAGCAGGGAATTGGGCGTTGGTCCTTTGTGAGCTGGGACCTAGGGCAGCTCTGACACATGCAATGCTGTATTTAGAAACAATTGCATGTTGCTCTGACCTTCCGTGGGCTCCAGGCCTGACATGGCGCTGCTCGCTCAAATTGCTCTTTCGCGTCAGCATCTGTTGGCAGTTAATGTCTGCCCTGGCTCACCATCTTGAATCAGGTATCTGCCCAAAATATGGAGAGCAGATGGGGAGATTGGTGGGCCTGAGGGCCAGATGCAGCCCTCTCAGACTCTCCTCAGACCGCAACCCCTCTCACGGGCCTTGCTCTGTGCCCCTGTCAGATGTTTTTGCCTGGCTGGAACGGTGTGCCAGGGTGGACAATTGAGAGGTGTTTGTGGTTAGAAACCTCTGGCTCTTACGTGGCATATTTCTGTCCCATGTCTTCCTCCTCCCAGTTGGCCCAGCCCACCACTGTCATAAGGCCCTCCAGAGGGTTGGTCAGGAGGGAATCCGGCCCTCCATCTAAAGGGACATTCTAGATGGTTCTGTGACATTGGTGTAACTCCCTTCCCGCCAGAGCCTGGCAGCATATTTGTGAGAACCCAGTAAGAGGGCTAGGTGCACTCCTCTCCTCCACAGGCGAGCCTTTCCTTCTCCTGCCTGTCAGGTCACACATGGCAATATCACCAGTTCCCATACCCTAAAAAAAATGTAGATGTGCTGCAACACAGGAGTGCCTTCATAAGACCACTGTACACATGGAGGGGGAAAGCAGTCTGTCTAAATAATAATAATAATGTGTTCTGACTGGTCAGCTCAGAGCCATAGTGGATGAGATTTTTTAAAAGAAAGAAAGAAAACTGCTGAGGTGTGGGGATTCCCCGCCCCCCAATCCCCCCAATTCATTTTGATGAAAGCAGGATGGCCAAGGGCTCTATCATTAAACTGCTTTTATTTTGTTTTTCTGGTTGATAGAGCATGTTTATTTCTGATTGCATAACACTTTAAAGCAGAAAATGGCTTCATTGATTTGCAGTGGGCTGCTAACTTCTGATTGCTTGCTAGCTTGGAAAATGTGAACAGATTTTTTTTATTTAAAAAAAAGTAAAAACAAGGTCACGAGCGACAAGAGAATATGACCTGGTATTCTGGAATGCCTGGATCTTCTTCCTAGTTCTACACTATAGGGTCTTGCAATGGCTGAGCCCTGGCACAGCAAACCTCAATCAGCTGATGGTCAGGGTTTGCTAGGACAAAGGGCGTATCGCTTTGCAGGGGCTGCTAATCAGCTGATCAGCAGTGCCTGCAAACCCCATTTTGGCTAAGTCAGGTCTTTAGCTGCACCACACCTGACACATCTCTATCAGCATGACATCATATGTGATGTCAGGTGGGTGTGGCTTGGCTAAAATGGCCTTGTGGACCAAAATTGGAATTGGGGAGCCTGATTAGGCTCATAGTACGGAGGTTTCCCATCGCTGTTCAAGCGTGGACAAATCCCACAGAGCCTAGTCCATTTCTTTGCTTTGTGAAGAATTGAGGATTTGAGAAGATTCAGCCTTCTTAAGCGCCAGCCCATCAAATCATTGAGCTTCTCCTGCAAAAAGGGAACAAAGAGGGTAAAGCCAAGAGAAATTACAGCAACAGAGCCTCTTTCCTGGAATTCAGGCTGTCAAGGAAGCATCACTGTCGCATCCTCTGCATAACATTATCTGTATGGATTTTGATTTGCCTGGAGTTCAACAGCATCTGGATTTTTATAGTTGACATTTTCTCTTGTTTAAACTCTCTTAATTCACTTAGGCTGTCATTTTTCCTTTCCCCCCATGTAGGATGACTACATCAAAAGCTGGGAGGATAATCAGCCAGTTGATGAAGGTACCCTTTCCCCTTTTGGTTCCGCTTAATCTTTTTAAAGGACCTGTTGCGATCAAGTGCCCAAGACCTTGTTAGGACAAGGTTCCTCCTGCCTTGCAAGATGGTAAATATGGGAGCAAATTTCACTGGTGTCTACCTTGCTTTCATCTGTTCTAAAGACGTTTGAAAATGACTTTGAAGGCAAGACTATCAAGCCAGAGTACAGGCATGTTTGAAGAGAGATGTGTTTCCCGGTTTCGGTTTTACTAGCTGCAAAAAATGTGTGTGTACAATGCAGGAATTGCAGCTCTCCTTCTAAGTGGAGGCTGTGGTCTTCCTTTTTTATCTTCCACTCCCTCTGTTCCATTAGCAGCATGGTGTTACCTCTGAGCTGCAGTAGTCTTTCATATACAATCTACCTGCCAATGCATATTCTTAAAAACACAAAAACGATTTGTAGACAGGCCAAAGTTTTCCCTGCCCTTGATAATTCATTAGAGTGGGCTACCCATGGCCTTAATCACTTTCTTCTGGGGTGAATTCTGATGCTTTTCCAGGTGTTTGGGTTAGTTAAGTCTATTTCCCTGCATGTTAGATGAGGTTGTTGTGTGCCATTGAGCAGAATTGATTGCGCTTATGCGAGTGATGGAAATAACCCCCCTTTTATGTTAGTGGAGACGCCCGCTTCTAAATGTTTACAGTTTGCAGGCTTGGTTTCCTTGGTTAGTATCATTTAATTGCTACTTGAAATCGATGCCTCCAGAGTTGTGACTTCACAGATGATTGATCCAAAATTATTGGGTGGGTGGTTGATGTGACAGAGGAGAAATTTGCGGAGTAGAAGCACAGAGTTGAGCCCTGAGCAGCTGTCCAGATAATAAAAAAGTGGAATGGTGCAGGACTCAATTTCATGCAGGAGAGGAAATAATCTGAATCAATGGCTGTTTCAGGGGCTCGTCGGGGAGACGTCCACGGCCATTTTAAAGCAGTTGAGTTTAGATGTTGTAGGGCTGTCTCGGGTGGTACTGCAGTTTGCACAAATGCTTTGCCAGAGAAGTCCAAATGGGCACTCCTCTGATTAATTTTAAATCTGCTTTAAAGACCTTCCTGTGCTTGAAGGTTTTCTAAATTTGGTCTAATTTTAATCTAAGTGTTGTAGTGGGATATGAGGGGTGTGTGTGTGTGTGTGTGTGTGTGTGTGTGTGTGTGTATTTCCTCTCCTTTTTTTGCAAGTGGGGCAGTTGGCGCTGATCCAACAATATCCATGTGCAACAAGCCAAAGCTGTGCACATGTAGCTCTGCCAAGTCAACTGCAGTTGCGCTGATCAGCTGTTAGGTAGGGAAGAGGGACAGGAAGGGTAAATGCAGCTGTGCTCCTCTGATTGGCGGCATTACAGCTTTCAGATACGGCTGCCTTTTCGGCCTTTGTGTTTATGCGATTCTTCACGTGCGTTTTGATTCTTTTTTTGCATTGGCCTTTCCATGTAAACCACTTCAGCAGGGATATCTACTGAAGGGTGGTGTGGACATTTATGTAAAGAGGTCAAGTAACAAAAGCATGATGGGAAATTTTAGTTTTCAAAAGGGAGACTTGGATGAAAAAAGGGGGGTAGATATTCTAGCACACGGATGGGGAATGTTTTTCACCCAGAGGGCCAGATTACCTTCTCAGCAATGTCCCGAGGGCCACATGGCAGAAGTGGGCGGGGCCAGAAACAAAAATGGGTAAAACAATGAGTGTAGAGTTCAGGAGTTTAGGAGCAGGTTCCAGACTGGCAAAAACGTTCAGGGAGGTTGTGAAGCCGAAACTGTGAATCGTGTGGTCTGGGGAGAGGGGATATGGCTGATGGAGAGCTCTGGGGGTCCAAAAGAGAGCGCTGGTGGGGCCACCAGACCTGAGGTTTCCCTTTCCCTATTCTAGGGAAAGTACGTATATGGGGCATAGGGAGAACTGATGGAATAGTTTGCTGACTTAGATGCTGTGTGGTTACGAAACTTAAGCTTCCTAGCCAACCTGGAACAGAGGAAGTTTTTTTCTTCTAGGCAAGACCATTGGGTCTGTCTAGTCTGCTACTTCAGCTGACACAAGAGCCTTCCCCATTCCTTGCTTTCTGATCCTTCTCCCTGGAGATGTTAGGGATTGCAATCAAAGCATGTGTTCTATGGCAAGCAACTTGAGTATATCCACATGTTGCCTGAGCAACGCAATCTTCTAAACCGTTGAAAAATGTATGCAAGAGAACAGCATGCTCAAGCTATAAGAACAGACCATAGTTCAATTGCAGCTAGTTTTAAATTTATTTATTTTTTAAATCACAGTCAGTTTTAATTGGCTTTAATTTTATCACATCCTTTTATCCTTCCCGTACACCACTTAGAAGCTAAGGTGGCAAGTGGTGTAGACATGGTTGACTTAAATAACATTGACACATAAATAAGTAAGAGTGTATACTTTGCATACCCAAGCTCCCAGGTCCAGACTCTGGCATCGCCAGGTATGGAGCTGGAAAAGATTCCTCTCTGAGACCTTATAAAGCGAAAGCCAATCTGTGTAGGCCAGGAATGGGGAAGCTCCAGATGTTGATGAATTCCTATCTCCCATCATCCCATGCTGGCTGAGGATGATGGGAGTTGGAGTCCCACAGCACATGGAGGCCACAAATTCCTCCATCTTGCTTTGGGCAGAACTGAAATAGGTGGACTGAGGTCCTGATTCTGTTTAAAGCAGGTTTATACATTCAAGCTTTGAGGAGCTGGAGTTTCGCTGGTTACCACCGCCTGATCTTCAAGTCACTGCTGGCACCAGACTTTTTTTTTCCTAAACTTTTAGAAAATTGAGTACTTGAGCACCAGTCCTTTGATCTCCCTTGGTTTTATTAAATAAAGGCAATTCAATTTAAAGAATGCCTTGACTGCTCTGGCCTGACCAGAATACTGATTTGCTGACCTTCAGAAAATAGTGCAAGAGCATTTTGTTTTTCAAAGGCTGCCTGATCCAGGCTGCAAAGTTCCTGCCGTTGTAAAGTTTGCTGGCTTTGAACCCACACAGATTTAAGCATGCTTATTATGCCCTTTGAAAGCGGCGAGCTTAAGGGCGCTTAGCTCTACGCTGCATTGTCCTCTGCGGCCCAAATCCAACAGCAATCGCGGGCAGCTAGTGATGTGCAGCTGGAGGGACTGGGTTTAGAGGCACATCTTCCATTCCCATCCTAGATGCATCTAGCCCATCCTCCTCCAACCTCAGGTGCCCTCAGGAAGTTCCAAACTACATCTGTCAGATGATTTGGTAGAGGGTAGATAACCACTGCAGCCCAGATGGAGATGTGTACCTTTGTTGACAAATGCAAGCAGGAGGCTGTTTCAGTAGACCAGTCATTCGGGCTGGATTACAGCACACGGCTTGAAACTTGTCTGTTATTCTAGATTTGACACAGCGTACATGGAAAGCTGCCTTCTGCTGAGCCAGCCCAGTGGTCCATGCAGCTCAAGATTATCTCCATTGACTGGGTGCAGCTCTCCAGATTTTGAGGAGAGAGTCTTTCCCTGAGCTGCTTGGAGATGCTTGCGATCGAAACTTGATCGTTCTACATTCAAAGCATGCAGTCGACCACTGAGCTTATAGCTGTTTGCCAAATTTAGTGATAATTAGTTGTTGTGGCCATATTACCTAAAACTCACCGATTTGGGGTTTAGATGTTTGGATGCATAGAGTGTGTGTGTGTTTTAAAAAAATAAATCTAAACAAAAATGTGTTTGAAAGGGGAGTGGCTAGAGACTAGATTTCAGGTGGCAGGTGCTAGTTCTGTAGAGAACCATGACAATAATATTGGTCTCAACCCAGCAGATACTTCACCTTTGTGGTTAGGGCTTTTCTTGCACAAAGTCCTCCATCACACACAAACACGCCCTGAATGCAAATCCAAAGAGCCTTCAGTATATGTAGTTCAGCACTGGACACTGCTGCAGGTGAGTAAGCCAGCTGATTTGTCAAGGCCCATGTTGGCTGCATATTGACAGGCACACATCACAAGTGTAAGGTGACCCTTGACTGTGTCCGTGCAGGACAGCTGCACATTCCTACCCGTTCCTCAGTGAAGATAGGAATGTGAATGCTTATACGTACCATGTCAGGTGGTTCTCTCGCAGCACCTTTTCGCATGTGGTGGGAATCCACGCAGGTCATAGAGAGAGCACATGGCAAGAAGGTTCATTGCCGTTGCGTATTGGGGAGCCGTCTTCCTAAAGCGATGAGTTTAGGTTTGTTTGCAAAGGCAGTCAGCAGTACACGGCACACTGCGTGCAAATAATTTCGAAATCGTCGATTGTAGCAAAGTTGTTTGTAATAGGGCTGCCGTATTTCAAAAAGTGAATATCCGAACACAAAAGTTGTTGAGCTTTTCCTGCAAAATCTCAAAATGAAGTTGCTGTGCTTTTTTTAAAAAAGGAAATTCGCCAAAAAATCAACACTTCCGACATTGCCATACACCCGGGAGTCCCGGACGTAGGGCAGCCCTATTTATAAGATAACACTACAAATGGGAAACTAGTCCAATTATCAGACTCAATTTAAGTTGATTTGTGAAACAGCTTCTGGTCCTGATATACTTGCATGTAACAAGGTATTGCAGACCGTGGTTGCTTTGTGGTTTTTAGCATGTTGTGTGTGGTTGTCTGCAAGCTTCTGCTTTATATCAGGCAGCAAACTCTGCTATAAAAAGGAGCACTTAGTCATTCACACTCCATTTACTTCTGGCTTTAGGTGTGGACACCACTAAGGATCCCTGCCAGAAAGTGAAATGCAGCCGGCACAAGGTGTGCATCGCCCAGGGCTACCAGCGGGCTATGTGCATTAGCCGCAAAAAGCTGGAGCACAGGTAAGGAAGTAGCTGGCCACCCCATGAGTCCCTGGTGGGGCAATAGGTGTTACTGAGTGACTTGCTCTTGCTTCCGACGAGTCCTTTTGTGGTGGGCACAACAGGAAGTCAATGGACGTATAAGTCAACGGAGGACAACCCACACTTAAATACAGTTGGCTAGTAGATTTAAAAGTGATTTGTTTTATTCAGGATATTGAATGAATATTTTTTAAAGTGCCAAGTGCTTGTCAGCCACCTGCTGAAGTGGCACTTGTTAGCCAGGACTCTGAAACTCAGGACCAGCTATATTTCAGATCATGTGACATCGTTGTGACGTCAGGTGATGGAGGCACTACCCATCTCTCAAAATGGCCCGTGAGGGTGGTCAGGATTTGGCCCGTTGGCCGGATCCTGCTCCCCACTGCCTGTTCTCACTGAACAAGCAGGTATAGAGTTGCCTGCACAATTTCCATAAGTCTTAATTAATTTTTCTTTTTTGAATTTAAGAGTGAAAAGGCAGAGGAGGAATAGGCAGTATCCCTAAGGGAGGCCATATTGCGCAGGTGAACTCATTCCTTGTGGCTAAGGCTCTCTTCCACTCCTTCACTTAACATTATGAACCACAGGTGTTCACACATGAGCTCTCTGCAAGTGTTCGCCTAAACTCCTGTGAGCTAAGAGCAGGGAGAAAACAGGTGCATGCACACATTCATCTGAACACCCTTAAAATCTCCCTTCAGACTTTTGCTCTCAATACAGGATGGTGTGAAGTGGATCTGGCCCATGCAGTGACATTGGGACTGGTGTTTCTGTGTATGCCCCTGCCCCTTATCAATCCATGCGCATTCGCCCCAAATGGCTGAAGAGGCCTTTGGCCTCGATGGCTTTTCGCCCCTTTCTCCTGCGAACAAATCATATAACTGAAGGTTAAAGCTGTCGCTGTTTGGCAGGCGGAAGCTCTCTGTGTGGCTTTCATGGGAGCACAACAGGCAGAAATCCATAGGTGAAGCTTTTCCTCCTTGTGGCTCTGTGAAAAGTTTCACTTGTGGATCCCTGCCTGTTATATTGCAGGTAGCACAGTGATACCTGAAGAGCACTCTCCAGTCTGCAGTTTCGGGATATTTCACATTCCTCAAGTGCCAAACAGAGAAGAGCGCATCTTGTGCCTGAGGGCGTGTTTGCTGCGAGGTTATCCCTGCTTTAATACGAATTCTTTGTTTCTTTCTTATCTCTCCCTCCTGTGCACCCACAGAATCAAACAGCCTACCCTGAAACTCCATGGAAACAAGGAGAGCTTGTGCAAGCCTTGTCACATGACCCAGCTCGCATCTGTCTGTGGCTCCGATGGACACACTTACAGCTCCGTGGTGAGAGAAAATGGCAGCAGCTAAGCCTGGAAACGAGGTTGGCGGGAGGGCATTCGTTCAGGGGAAGAAGTAGCTGCAACGTTTCAGGGGGTCTGGTCTGAATTTCATACCTGTTTAGTATTATGTGGGAGGGCGTGCAGGGAGTTTTTGTATCTCTGTTCTCTTGAGTTGCTTTACAGTCTTTGCTTGTTCCTTACATTCTTAAGAGTCATAGGATTGCAGAGTTGGAAGGGTCCCTGAGGGTCATCTAGTCCAGCCCCCTCCCCCGCAGTGCAGGAATTTGCTGCTGTCCCTTAAGGGGATCAAACCCTACAACCTTGGCATTATCAGCACCACGCACTAGGCAACTGAGCCGTTAGAATTAGCACCGAGTCCTTTTGTTTCTCTACCCACCCACCTGTTCTACCTTCACAACAACCCTGTGAGGCAGGTTAAGCTTAAAAACAAAACAAAACCAACCACCCAGTAATGGACCCAAAGTTATTCAGCGGGCTTTATGGTGTACTGGGAGTTGGCTCTACAAACAGCTTGTAAATCCTAATAGTAGTAGTGGTAGGAAGAAGAAGAAGAAGAAGAAGAAGAAGAAGAAGAAGAAGAAGAAGAAGAAGAAGAAGAAGAAGAAGAAGAAAATACAAGGGAGCTTCCTGAAGGAAAGGTGTTGCTGTTTAGTCATTTAGTCGTGTCCGACTCTTCGTGACCCCATGGACCAGAGCACGCCAGGCACTCTGTCTTCCACTGCCTCCCGCAGTTTGGTCAGACTCATGTTTGTAGCTTCGAGAACACTGTCCAACCATCTTGTCCTCTGTCGTCCCCTTCTCCTTGTGCCCTCCATCTTTCCCAACATCAGGGTCTTTTCCAGGGAGTCTTCTCTTCTCATGAGGGGGCCAAAGTATTGGAGCCTCAGCTTCAGGATCCGTCCTTCCAGCGAGCTCTTAGGGCTGATTTCCTTCAGAATAGAGAGGTTTGATCTTCTTGCAGTCCATGGGACTCTCAAGAGTCTCCTCCAGCACCATAATTCAAAAGCAGCAGCACCATAATTCAAAAGCAGGAAAGGTAGCAGCGTATAAATGTAACAGATAAATAAATATTTACTTGCGTCTCATGCAACACTTTGCCATGGTAAAAGCTTGGTTCTTTAACTTGTTATTAGGGCCTGTTTGTTTCAGAATGGTTGCTCAAGGGACTAATGGTTCCTCTTTCCGCATTTCTGGATTGTAGTGCGGAAAAGCACTTTCTGTTGGAGGCTCAGGGGTGAGGCCATCTCATTGTGAGGGAAGTGCCTGTCTCCTTCCTTAGGACGAGACTCAGGAGTGTGATCAGAAGACATGGGAGCCACCTGCCCCTTCCTCTTGATGTGTCTTTTGACTGCTTTTGACTTAATGCTCTTCTCCTCTAGGCTATCAGTGGCTGGCTTAAGTCCTCTCACCATTCATTTCCATCTGTAAAAACGGACAATTTTGTGAAAATTGTAAGGACACATTAACCCAAACTGTGGAGCAGTACTTAGTACTTCAGTACAGTTAAATAAATTACATACACACACATACATATATATATTAGTGGAAGCACTGGAGGCATTGGTAGCGAGCGATATTAAGGATAATAACCAACAAAGACAACCTCTCTGGCACCTCTGCTTAATTTATCACCAACCCACAAAATTATATCAAGATTATATATAGCCCTTTGGTGGAGGTCCCAGAGATGGAGTAATTGATTGATTTTAAAGATAAAGAAGATGTAATTATGAGCTGTCCCCCCCCTTTTTCTTTTGAGGGCAGCTAAAATTGTCATTGCTAAATGCTGCAAGTTTGCAGAATTCTCGTGAATGCTAGTATGATGAAAAGAACCAAAAAGGCACGGAGACAATAATAAAATGAGGCACAGCTTTTAAGAGAATAACAAATTATACGAAGGCTTCACTTCCTCTGGTGCAGACACACGTTTAGTAACAGAGGGAGGGATTTGTAGCGCTAAGGAGATCGCTCTGTCAGCGCACACATTTCTGTTTGCCTGACAGAGTGGTTTCCCTTCTCCACCCTTCTCATTCTGTACTGACACACGCACCCCCTTCGCCAGTTGTGCGAGCTTCCTTGTCCAGACTTCTGCTAGTGCCTCCACCCCCATCGTTCTGCCCGGACACTGAGGTCCAATGCTGAGAGTCTTCTGGCGGTTCCCTCACTGCAAGAAGCGAAGCTACAGGGAGCCAAGCAGAGGGCCTTCTCGGTAGTGGCACCTGCCCTGTGGAAGGCCCTCCCATCGGATGTCAAAGAAATAAACAACTATCTGACTTTTAGAAGACATCTGAAGGCAAACCTGTTTAGGGAAGTTTTTAATGTTTGATGTTTTATTGTGTTTTTAATACTCTGTTGGGAGCTGCCCAGAGCAGCTGGGGAAACCCAGCCAGATGGGTGGGGTATAAATAATATATTATTATTATTATTATTATTATTATTATTATTATTAGACTGGTTAGTCAAATCAGACCCACAGTAAGAAAGGAAACTGCCTTATACCAAGTCAGACGAATTGTCCATTCAGCTCAGTATTGCCAGCACTGACTGGCAGCAGCTCTCCAGGCAGGAGGCCTTATCAGTCCTGCCTGGAGACACCGTGGAGTGAAATTGGGACCTTCTATACGGAAGGCACGGGATGCGGGTGGTGCTGTGGGTTAAACCACAGAGCCTAGAGCTTGCCGATCAGAAGGTCGGCGGTTTGAATCCCCAGGACGGGGTTAGCTCCCGTTGCTCGGTCCCAGCTCCTGCCCACCTAGCAGTTCGAAAGCACGTCAAAGTGCAAGTAGATAAATAGGTACCGCACCAGCGGGAAGGTAAACGGCGTTTCCGTGAGCTGCTCTGGTTCGCCAGAAGCGGCTTAGTCATGCTGGCCACATGATCTGGAAGCTGTACGCCGGCTCCCTCGGCCAATAAAGCGAGATGAGCGCTGCAACCCCAGAGTCGGCCACAACTGGACCTAATGGTCAGGGGTCCCTTTACCTTTACACGGAAGGTAGATGCGCTACCATTGAGCTATGCCCCTTCCACAAATTTATTTTATCCTCATTGTCACCTGTAATCAAACAGGTTTTTGAAACGATATGAAAACCTGCTTGGCCCATTGACCAGACCAGAAATCAAGATGAGTTTTGGCAGCAAGATCAAGGAATCCTTTTTTCTTTTTAAGGGCACCTTCATTTCTGGGGAAGGAAATTCTATTGGCTGTCCCTGGTGTTGGTTAGAAAAGGGAGAATGTCTGTTACCCAGGTGTTGGTATCAAAACATCACATTCTGGAAACAAAATGCGTACAATTAGGACGTTGTGAATGGTTTTGGCCCACGGAATCATGACTGGAACCAGCAGGTAGAAATGGCAACGAGGCAGATTTCAGCTTAATATTAGGAGAAACTTCCTAACAGTAAGAGCTCTTTGACCGCTTTGGGAGGTGGTAGGTTCTCCTCTGCTGGAGCTGTTTAAGCACATGCTGGTTGGCCCTCTGTTAAGGTTGCTGTAGGGGGGTGCTGAACTCGTTGACCTTTCAAGGCACCTTCCAACTTTTTGATTCCATGAAATGTAAAGCAGGTCCCTTAAAAAGACGGACAGCAGCAATACAAGTATCGCCAAGGGTCTGAGGTCGTTTGACTTTCCTTCTAGACAAAGTGAATCTCTGGGTAATAGTGCAGTGGTATATTTACAGTACAGTGCTACCTCAGGTTAAGTACTTAATTCGTTCCGGAGGTCCGTACTTAACCTGAAACTTTTCTTAACCTGAAGCACCACTTTAGCTAATGGGGCCTCCTGCTGCTGCTGCGCCGCCGGAGCACGATTTCTGTTCTCATCCTAAAGCAAAGTTTTTAACCTGAAGCACTATTTCTGGGTTAGCGGAGTCTGTAACCTGAAGCGTATGTAACCCGAGGTACCACTGTATTGGAAGTGAGTGCAATATGCCTTTGCGTTACATGCAGTACAGTGAAGCTGTGCAGGATTGGTGCGACTCACTGAGCCAAAGCTCGTTTGGGTAGCCCTTGTTATGCTGTGCTGACCTACTTTTTCTGCCTTCTGGCTGTTGGAATGGGGGAGTCTGTTCCAACTAAGCTCTTGCCTTTAGCACATACAATTGCATTTAACTCTCTCAAAATAGAGAAGCGAGGCTTGTGAAGAATCGCCTCCCAGCCTGGAGTAAACTGATTCAGAAACCGAAGCATGGTTCCTTTGCTAAAAACTGAGGCTGGTTTTTATACAGCTCCTGAAGCATGCAACTCAGAGATCTTTTACGGCCATTTTTGGATTGCTCCGTATGGTGGCCGGGGCAATTTGCAACAGGAAGTGAGGATTCTGAGTCTTTCCTGCTTGTCTCCTCGCATCCCGAGCACTGATCTGGCAGTGAGGTGGAGCATTGAAATTATGGCTTTGCCGCTATGTAAATAGCTGTAACATGCTTTGAACCAACCACTTGAAACCATAGATTTAGGTGGTCTTGTTGGACATGTAGTTTGATGCAGGAAATCCAGAGCGGTCCAGCCTGTTTGAAAGCCTCCAATGAGTAGGGGATGGGAGGAGAAATTCAATTCAGTTTGCGTGTAAAGATGAACGAACCTACTTCATGCTTTCCAACACAATCCCAGAACCAAAGCACAGTCTTCAAAAGTCATACTTTTCTGAATTTTGTAGTGCAGCTCTCCTGAGTAGCAATGTGTACAAAAATGCACATACTGGTGTATGTACTGCATATATGAGTGAAAAATGACATGCAACAGTTTATTGTATTAGGGGAAATTGTTTTGCGTACACTTGTTCATTAGGGGAAATTGCATACAAATGTGTAGATTAGGATAAATTTACAGAAAAACGCTGGTGAATTTTCCTGGGAACTTTTTAAAAAAAAATCACAACCATGTGGAAATATGGAGAGCCGAATTTAAGTTTGGAGAAATGAAAAACTGGAATAAATTGAAGATTTGTCCATCACTTATGCCAGTGAGGGAGACTGCACCATCCCTCTAAGTAATCAGTTCCATTGGCCATCTTGCTCAAGTTTGTTTTGGGTTTTGTGAATCTACCCCTTCATCTTCCCACCAACTAAATGCTCCATTTCCATATGCTCTCTGTGTGGTGTTTTTTCACAGCCAAACATACTGGGGTCCTTCCTTTTTTAAAAAATAATGTTACTCTTTCTCCCATCCCATCAGTTATTAAGATGTTTGTGAATGCCCCATGAAATCACAGCAGGTCAAGTCAGTGGCTGGGGGAAATATTTTTCTATAGTTTGCAGGAAACAGGCAGCCAGTTTGTAGCCTATTATGCACCAAAGAATGTTGAGAAGCCTTAGCCCGATTAGTTCGAAACCAGGACACAGCAGGAAATTTCATTCGGGGGAGATTAGCACTAAGAAGATTCATTGTTATTTGCTTTTGGTTCCTCTTTGCCTGAAGAGTTAAATAAAAAAAAGTAACAGGATCAGAAGGCTGGCCTGCCGCAAAACCCTTCTGTTGCAATCTGCCCTTGGATTTCAAAGGGGTCAGCGGGAGAGAGATGCTTGTTGCTGGAACTTAGAGCTCCTAAATGTACTCAGAATAAAGAGCAGGGATCATCATGGGAAGGAGGCAGGATCTAGCCATGGAGTCCTAACAGTCACAGAGCATGGGGGGAAAGTTTGATTCCCCATCCCTATGCAGAGCCCTCCTGTGTTTTGGCATGAGATATGGTGGCGCTGTGGGTTAAACCATAGAGCCTTGGACTTGCCGATCAGAAGGTCGGTGGTTCGAATCCCCGCGACGGGGTGAGCTCCCGTTGCTCGGTCCCTACTCCTTCCAACCTAGCAGTTCGAAAGCACGAAGTGCAAGTAGATAAATAGGTACCGCTCCAGCGGGAAGGTAAACGGCATTTCCGTACGCTGCTCTGGTTCGCCAGAAGCGGCTTAATCATGCTGGCCACATGACCCAGAAGCTGTACGCCGGCTCCCTCGGCCAATAAAGCGAGATGAGCGCGCAACCCCAGAGTCAGTCATGACTGGACCTAATGGTCAGGGGTCCCTTTACCTTATAAGCAGAATCGGGTGCACTATAATTAAAAACCCCGTTCATGCCTTTGCAATCAAAATCCCATGTCAAGCCAAATTCTGTGACCTGTGTAAGCGGGTGAAAAATAAGCCCATTTGCAAGATGTCTCTAATAATGAAAAATAGCGATCAATAACTAAATGCAGAATTCTGCAACATTTCTTTTGTGCTAGTCATTAGGAGCATGAGAAACTGCCTCATGCACTGAAGCCCCACCCCAGCTACCCAAAGCCTTATTTATTCCTCGCTTCCTTCCCCTCCCTTGCACACATACTTGTGTATATATCTTCCCAGTCATAAAAGCTGAAATTCTCAGGAAGCCTCGTTTTGTGGTGCCCCTTTCCCTCCCTCCCCCCATGGAAATCACGGCAGGCATGTAGCCTTGGCTAGTAACAGAACCCTTTCCTAAGTTGGACTACATCAGCTGAGCACCACTGCTCCCGCTGGGCATGGCTCCAGAGGCAGAGTTCATTATACTGCCATAGGAATACTTTCCAAGACCCGCTGTGCTTTCTATCGCGGACAAAAGGGAAATGGTCACATCCTCCGATTTATTATATTGAATGTCAGCATATTGATATACACAGCCACTAATCCCTGTGATTAATGTGTTTACACTGGAGCTGATTAATGGAGTTGCTTCCCATCAAAGAGCGTTCGGAGGAATATTATTCATGGAATTTGGAATTGGGCAGGGGGGGGGGAGTAACCATTATGAACTTGTGCATGAGTATTCAGCCATTGCATTAAGCGGTAGGTGAATTGTCATCTTAGTGCAGAACTTAGAGTATCCGTTTGTTTGTTTGTAGTGTTTGGACCCTGCTGCGGAAGCTGAAAAGCAACTTAACAATCAGTTAAAAAGCAAGACAGTTGCTGCCCTCAGGTTTATAATCTAAAAGAGATGATACAAAACGGGGGAAAGGGATGGAGGGAAGATAAGCAAACTCAGGCACCAGGTCTTTGCAGGACCAGCTGGGATGGAAACAACTTAAGGAGAGCAGGAGCCAAAAGGGTCTGGCCTGTTATCCGAGGTGATGAAGTGGCCTGCCTCCCATCTCCCCTTCTGTTGCTCCTGCTGCCAAAAGATAAGAGGAGAGGGAGGCATTGTCCACTCTGTAAGGGTGTGTGGTCTATGTTGGACAGACAAGACAGGGACTACCAAATGAGGAGGGGAGCGTCAGGTGGCAGCAGAGGAGCAGGTGAGATGAGGTCGAGGAGGTTCATGGCAGGCTCTCCTAGACCAGCAGAGTCCCGGAGCCTGGGTTTCCCGTCCCCCATTTGATTGGCAAGTGCTGACTTCTCTGACTATCTACTCTCCATTCTGTCTTGCAGTGCAAACTGGAGCAGCAAGCCTGCCTGACCAGCAAACAGCTGACGGTTAAGTGCGAGGGGCAGTGCCCATGCGCGAGTGAGCATAGCCCGACCTCAGCCACAGACACCAAACAAGGTCAGGGGGACATTTTAGTGAATAGTCTGATGATGGCATCCTCTCCTTCCCTTTCTCTCTCTGCTGCTTTTCATGTAAGCAACAGAAAGCATGCCTAAGAGTCTGGCATTAAATCATATTCCAAGGGGCCCCAATCTCCCTTGATCATGCCATGTGCATTTGTCTGCCAGGCAAACTACATGAGACCATGATCCAGACACAGGCAAGCTCCCTCCCCCAGTAACACATCTCACGCTGCAGTTTCGTGTGCATTGTCACCATTTTGTTCTGGGAAGGTGACCCCAAGGCTGGTATTACTACCAGGCAACCTTGGGCAGTTTCAGGGCTCCAGCATTGTGGCAGCGGGCACTGCTACTGCTTGCCATGGACCCACCTTAAAAAAAAAAAAAAAAGAGCTAGTTCTCTAACGCTGTAGTTCTCTACACTGTTTGAATTTCCCACAAAACGCTCCCTTCCCCACAGTGCAGCATTGTTCTAGGGCAGCGTTCAGAGCACAGTCTCAGCTGCACACTAATGCCAGGTAAGCCCACCAGAGCCCACTGCTGGGGAAGGGCTCCCATAAAGAGTACACATTGCCCAGGCCCCCCCCCACACTTTGGGTCTCCTAGACTTGGGTCAATATGGTGCTGACCTAAGAGCTGTGGGAAAGCTTAAAGCACCAAAAATCAGGTTCCCCAATGACTGCAGTTCTGGTCCATGCAATAAAGATTCAGAAATCATTTTAGCACATCTGCCAAGAGCTAGTTCGCATGGGAATGGGAAATCCAGTTCACGCTACACCATCATTTGCAAAGTGGAGGAAGGAAGGAAATAGGTCCGTTTTGTTGTTGCTTAGATTTCTTCCTTGCCTCTCACCATAAGGACCCAAGGCAAGTTTAGACAGTATTAAAACCAGATGAACCAATTTACAATAAAAAATATAAGGTGGGTCCTAAACACATAACCATAGGCATCAAAGGCCAAGATAAAGAGGTAAGTATCTGCTATGAGGCATGCATGAAATAAATATAAATAAATAAATAGAATGCTTAATGCTACTTAGCGAATATAGCACTGTTACCTGAGTAAAACTTAGCAAATTAATTAGCAAATTAATTGTGTAAGTTTTGTTCAATTAGTTGATATAAAGGTTGTTTCTGAATTGTATGCTATTCTGTACCTAAACCCTTAAAATGGCAGGCTTCTGTCTGCTGCTTTACATCCCCATAAAAGTACAGAAGGCCAAATTCTAGACAAGTCCAAGATGCGGTTAGGCAAGTGAGTGGTGCTCTTGTCAAATCCTGGAGTTTATCCACCATTTGGACAGCTCAGACTTTTGTTTAAGGCAGGGATTTCCAAGCTAATAAATGTCACAAGTCATCCCCTTCCCCAGCTCATCAGTAAGCAGTCCTTTCTGTATCACACACATAAACACACTGACTTTAGTCCATGGAGGCGGAATGTTTTGCTACATAAAAGAGACTCTTTCACAATGAATAAAATAGAGTTTGGGTGTCTTTCATATTCTTCCCAGCTCGGGGTGCTCAGCTAATAATTCTGCATTTGATTTACAGAAACCTGTACTGGGCAAGACTTGGCAGACTTGGGGGATCGGCTCCGTGACTGGTTCCAGCTCCTGCATGAGAATGCCAAGCAGAACAGCTCCGGGAGCGCAGGGGCCAATCCAGTGAATGGTATGCAGAAACTGCGGCCGTTGTCATATGCATACGCGTACACAGTCATGGAAATACGGGGACGGAGCCCATGCAATCTCCGAAGAGATTTTCTCTGCAGTTACTGGACTGATATCTGTGTCCAGTGATTCCCTTAGACTGAACGTATTTGAGCTGCAGGTGGATGGTTGACTGCATGATTAAATAGGTTTAAAAAACAAACACTTTTCTGTCCTTGGAAAGCCTGCACATTGGGGAGAAAGGGTTGCGTTCAAGGTAGTAGCATTAAGGCGAACTTTAAGTCAGGATGAGGATTTCTGCTTGCACAAGGAAATGTTCTCCTCCTCTGCTTCCTCCCTAAATCTCTTCTGGGGTTTCCTCCAACTCTCTGGAGTAGATTTGAGGACAACGGCCGAGGACCCAGTTGTGTTAATGCAACAGTTCTGTTGAATGCCGCCCATATTTCTTCTATATATTTCTTCCTGGCAGGCTGGTTTTCCACACACAGGGAGCTTTTGATAGGGGATAACGCTGAAACGTGTGATTCACAATCTGCGAAGTGGCACAGTCCTGGGGATACTTATGCACAATAGGATATTTCTGAATGCATACTTTGGCTTAACCCAGGGGTTACTCTCCCATCATCCAGAGCCAGATTGGCCAATGGACAAGGATGGAAGGGAGTTGTAGTCCAACAACATCTGGAGGGCCACTGGTCACCCCCCCCCCTTGGCTTAACTCCTCTGTTTCCTCTAAGTTAAACCAGGAAGAAGGTTGTTTCATTCAGGTGTGAAAGACGCAGGAACACATTCAGCTGTAACTTCTGCAGTTCAGACACACCAGTGGGAAAATTCCGCCATGTTTTCAGGATCAATCTGAGAAAGCTCTGTATCCTGCACTGAACGAGGGAAGGTGACCACAAACAGCCCTCCTACAACTCCCATTAAAGAGGGACAGCCTTGTTGCAATGAATAGGACTTTGCGAGAGCCACAGGCTCATTTATTTCACCGGAGCTGGTGCAGCAGATGTGCCTGGTTCCGTCAATCTTTATTCCTCCTGTTGTGTCAGCTCTTATTTCCCCTTGTGAAACTAAATTGTTTTTGCTTTGGCTGAGCAGTTACTTGTTGGGTGCCAGCAGCTTGTCGTATTTCGGCACTAAACTGGTCTTTATGTGTGACTCTATTAGTTTATATACCATGAGATCAGGAACGGGGAATCTGCGGCCCTCCAGATGCTGCTGGACTACGAATCCCGTCATCGACCCCAGCTGCCAACCAAGCTGGCTGGGAATGATGGGCAATGTAGTCCAATAAACTCTGTAGGGTCACAGCGTCCCCATCTCTGCACTAAACAGTTCTTGAGTCACTCATCCAATCAGATTTGGTGTGGTAAATGCAGCTTTACATGTGCCATTTGCCACATTTTCATTAGCTGAAACACAATACTTTGTTCTCAGAGCTGATCTGATAAATTAACGCTCTAACGACAAGCTGGAGTCTGTGGAATTTTTATTACTATTATTATTATTATTATTATTATTATTATTATTATTATTATTACTATTATTCCTTTTGTAGTTAGTGTGATAAAAGGAGAAATGTGCTTAGCACAGAAAGTTGGACTGGTTTGTCATCAGCAAATGCACATTTTGTACATTAAACCAAGCAAGCCCTGCTCATCTCCTGGCTGCTTCCACAGAGCAGAGCTTTCTGTGTGGGCCACCCACACTCTGCCAGTTGCTGTGTGAGCACAGCAAGGTACGGGTTTTTGCGCACTTGTTTGTTTTAAACAAGTCCCCAGCCCCTGAGCAGAGTTGGCAGATTGGTCCCAGAGCACACGCAGAACGTGAAGTGCGACCGGTCAGGAGGAAGATCATTAGTTTAAATGTCAGTGAACAGAAACCGCCAAGCCGCATGCTTCTCCCACAGGCGGGCCTGATACGTTGGATGAAGTCTTGCTGCGCTGGGAGGGCGATGCCCTTGTGCCCCCCTTGGCTCTGCCGCTCCCGTCCCTCGGCTTTCGTAAGCAGAGCAGTGAGCCGGCGTGGCTCACCTCCAGCAGCGAGGAAGTCCATCTGGAACCAGCCTGGCAGCAGCATCACAAACTACGTAGGAGATAGGAAGTGAAGCAGGCCGTGCGGGGAAATGGCAAGGCTCCCGTCTCCTTCAACAGCAGCTGCTTTTCCTAGAGGGCCACTTTGAGAAGCGAGCCGAGCGTGGCAGGCCGACGCCGCAGCCATGACCCTTTCAGGCGGGCTGCCACTGTCTTCTGCTGCCCTGCGTTACATGTCCTCCTTGCATCTTCTGCCTCTAGCTTGGCTTCAGGAAAGAGAGGGGTAGCAGCTGGTACCTTGCAGAGGACCAGATTTTGCCAGTGGGCCTGCAGTTGTTCACCTCTGCTCCATACATGCTTAACATGTATTTGCCCAGCAGAACTGCGATGGCGGTATTTTGGGGTTCCGGTGCAGAATTTCAGGCCTGCAGGCCTGACGTTTGAATCCTGATGTGCAGCGGCATCGACAGGCAGCCTTTCCAGGAGAGGCCCTGCGTATGCACAGGTTTGTGTCGACGCACGAGCTTTTAAATAAGTAAAAATTCCGCAACTAGGAAGACAGAACTCTGTGAGCGGTATAAATTATGCAGATCGAGCCTGTTTGCATAATGCATGCAGCTTCTCTGAGGAGCGGCAAGGCACTCCAGGAGCACCTGCCTCTCAGCCACAGGGTGTTCTGCTCGGCTTCTCGTTTGTGTAGCTCCTAAGCATCGCCTACAGGTTTTTAATCACCACTGTCTTTGTAGCCATAAGGTCTAGCAGCTTGCTTGGTTTCTTTAAAATAACGAGTAGAACCTGCAACAAATCACTGCAAGTGATCTACCTCTCAGTGCAAGTGCTCCTGTTCAGAGTTGCAGACAGACATGTTATCCTTAGGATACTCCATTGCAACACACAGACACACACTTTGGGTTTTTTTGTTTACCAGCTGACACTCAACATTCCACAGCTGCTGAGCATGCTCAGTCTCCGTTGGGTTGTCTTTGGGGTGGTTTTGCCTCCTAGGGGTGTATTTTTAAAGTTTTATACTTCTTCTTACCTTGAGGTTCACCTTCACATGCTGCTTCCCCGTCTAGTCTCTCAGAAGCCCCATTTCGGCTCCAAACCACCCGAGTTCACTCTTAGAGGGAGCAATGGAAGCTGAGGTCCTCAGGATGATGAATCCTGCACCCAAATCCCGCACTTGTGGGCGCAAGCGGGCCTATATGCGCAGAGGCACCTTCGCTCCCCCTTACTCTTCTTTCTCACTCTCTTCTGTTGTTGTTTTTTCAAACCTCATCCGCTTGCAGTGCTGGACAAGAGCCTTGTGGCCAGTTGCAAAGACTCGATTGGCTGGATGTTTTCCAAGCTGGACACCAACGGCGACCTTTTCCTGGACCAGACGGAGCTGGCAGCCATCAACCTGGACAAGTACGAGATCTGCATCCGGCCTTTCTTCAACTCCTGCGACACCTACAAGGACGGCCGCGTCTCCACCGCAGAGTGGTGCTTCTGCTTCTGGCGAGAAAGTGCGTTGCTGCAAGGTTTCTCCTAAGAGTCTTTTGTGTTGACTCCTTCCAGTCAGTCATATCCCACCGTTCTTTATATAGTGCCAACTGTTGTAAGTGATGCTGAAAGAGATACACACATGCTGACAAATGGGCTTCTCCCTATCTTTCACTGATGGCACTAAGCAAAAGGCCTCTTCTTGGCTGATGTGTTTTACCATAGCATAGTACTAAGTTCAGGGACGCGGGTGGTGCTGTGGGTTAAACCACAGAGCCTAGGACTTGCTGATCAGAAGGTCGGCGGTGTGAATCCCCGCGATGGGGTGAGCTCCCGTTGCTCGGTCCCTGCTCCTGCCAACCTAGCAGTTCAAAAGCATGTCAAAGTGCAAGTAGATAAATAGGTACCGCTCCGGCAGGAAGGTAAACGGCGTTTCTGTGCGCTGCTCTGGTTCGCCAGAAGCGGCTTAGTCATGCTGGCCACATGACCCGGAAGCTGTACGCCGGCTCCCTCAGCCAATAAAGCGAGATGAGCGCCGCAACCCCAGAGTCAGTCACGACTGGACCTAATGGTCAGAGGTCCCTTTACCCTTTACCTTTAGTACTAAGTTCAAGCTGTTTAAAGAGGCACTCGTTACAGCCCCACTTAGATTAAAGATCATCGTCCTTTATTTGCATGTCACCTTTCCGTCATGAATTTTGCTCGTGGTGGCAAAACTGGCTAAGTGGCAACAGAATTTAACAATAAGTTAACCAAAACATCTCGGCATCTCAGTAAGAAATATACCAAAAATTGAACATTAGTAAGGTCTACTAATAAAGTGCAGAAACATTCCTGTAAATAAGGCACCTTCAAGATTAATTCTGGACCCCAACGGAAGCCCCAAAACATCACCCCACCTTGATAGTCTCTATCAGCATGCTTTTTCCCAGACTTGCAGCGAAGCTGGTCTCTCTTATATTTTCTCCCCAGAAGCTGCCAATAGTTTTTAGGAGGGAGAATATTTGCTTAGCGTTTATGTAGTGCTTTTTCTTATGAACTCAGAGCCCTTTGCATATATACTTCAGTAATCCTTGCAACAAACCTGCAAGATAGACCAGTGCTGTTAGTAAATGAAACACCTGGTATTTATGTAAGTGGTTTTTCTTAAGGGCTTAAAGTGCTTTGCACATGCAAGGTAGGCCAGTTCTTTTACCCTCGTATCAGAGATTACTGGAAGAGAGCAGCTCATTTATTGACAAGCGCATGGCTCCACCGAGATTGTTTTGAGCTGGTTTTTGGCAATCCTGGAATGGACGCGTGTTTTGCTTTGGGTGTTTCAGAGCCTCCTTGCCTTGTGGAGCTGGAGAGGATACAGATCCAGGAAGCAGCCAAAAAGAAACCTGGTGAGTTGTGGAAATGGGGAGCTATTTGGGGATGGGTGAGGGAAGGGGAAAAGGATCTCGTGGATGTCTCGGTGCTGATAGTCAATGCTTGGAAGGCACGTCACCCAGCAGTGCTAGTTTCTTTCACCCAAGCCCCATCTCTGCTTGCCCCACAGCTGAGGGCCAGAGGATCCATACCTGTTTTAGATGATGGTGTCATGGAAATGAAGATTTAGGCAGATCTAACGGCTCCTCCCTAAGGTCCAGCTCAGGCACCCCCGAACTCAGCCCTCTGGCTGTTTTGGGACTACAGTTCTCATCATCCCTGACCACTGGTCTTGTTAGCTAGGGGTGATGGGAGTTGTAGTCCCAAAACAGCTGGAGGGCCGAGATTGGGGATGCCTGGTCCAGCTCATACATGTGGGTGGCCATGCCCAAAGCAGCCTTATGGCTGGAGCCATTTGTGCTCAATCTGGGCAGATTTCAGTGATAATTGTGCAACAGCTCATTGTCGCAGGCCAGGCCAGGGGTGTTTGTAGCGGTGCATTGCCCTGGCTGTGTGCATGTATGGCAATCCACTTACTACATGTTATGATTTTTGTCAGTGGTTTTTGCACACCATAATTCTTGTCAGGGAAATAATTGATGTGTGAAGATTTTCCCTTGTCGTTTTCCATTGCATATGTTTATGCGGAAAGCACCTCTGAGGTCAGATCATTTTTTGTTTAACTGTGTATTGAAGAAGCTAATTTTTTAAGGTGGTTCTAAGCACAATTAAATATAAAGTCCGTACTTCCTTACAGTCTAAGCTCCTTTCTTATTCAAAGTGTATGATCTTCATTTAAATTCCCAGTTGCACAAGATGCTGTGGGCTGCTAGGGTTGCCATTTGTCCTCTTTTTCCAGGACACGTCCTCTTTTTTGCCATAGCGATCCATAGTTAAAAGCAGAAGTCGGCAAATATGTCCCTCTTTTTTGTTCTTCAAAACACAGCAATCCTAAAAATCATTTCCCAAGCAGTGAGTCCTGCTGCTGCAACCATTGTATCCCAACTCTACTGACGCCCTGTTGCTGACTTTGCTTTCCCAGGGATCTTCATCCCCAGCTGCGATGAGGATGGGTACTATCGGAAGATGCAGTGTGACCCAAGCAGTGGGGAGTGTTGGTGCGTGGACCACCTTGGCATGGAACTAACAGGGACGCGGATGCATGGGAATCCAGATTGTGGTAAGGAGAATGGAGAGGAAAGGTGGGAAGAACTGTTGGCGGGTTGGAGCACAAAACGTACATGTTGCACACAACAAGGGGGGCCTCCAACGTGGCCCCTGTCGTGGACTGGTTGGATGCAGAGGGATGGTGGAAAGAACCAGCTGTGGAACCCACAAGAAGGCTCAGAGCCCAGGGAATGGTGGTGGGACCACAATGAGTGGTCAGAGGGAGAAGACTGGGAAGAGGAGGCGTCGGAAGCTGAAGAGGTAACAGGACTGAGTGAGCAGGGAGAGTCTGTGGCAGAGAGGAGTCCTGAAGCTGAAGCAGGAGAGGAGGGAGGCCAAGAGGCAGAGAGGAGACTGGCTAGTGAAGAGGCACAAGTGTCTCCCCCTCCTGCGGAGACCAGCTCCCCTCCCCCTGGTCTCCCAGAACATGCAGAGAAATGAAGAGGGCAGAGGAATGGGAGACAAGACAACAGAGCCTTCGGCTGCTGGGGAAGGAATTGAGGGAGGAGCCTTACAGAGCAGTGGGAAGGTGGGAACCTCGCAACTGCTTCACTGGGGCAAGACCTACTAGGAAGAGTTGTTGTGATCTCTAGGCCTGCGCTGTTTTGGTTTCTTCGAATAAAGAGTTAACTTCACAGACAATGGACTTAGGCAGCAGTGAGGAGGTAGGAACCCAGTCTCAGCAAGTGCTTCTGGGTGGGGGAAGGGGGGCAAGACTTGCCAGAGACGAGTTGCTGTGCTCACAAGGCCTGACACTCCTGGGTTGTTGTTGTTGTTGTTGTGGGTTTTTTTTTGTTTTTTGTTTTGCTAACAAAGAGTTAACTCCAACTTGCTCAGTGTGATTTCCTGCTGGCTCGCTCCTGTCGGCCCCACTTGTAGAGTTGAGCGGACAGGCTTCCTCGCCATGGAAGAAGTGAATGAATGCCTTCTGAGGGGGAGGGTTCACCATCCACGGTTACCAAAGTGCCGCACCGCCGTTTCCTTACTAACGCTGCTGCTTCTGCTGTTGTTGTTCTTGTCGTTGCAGATGATATCGTTGGATTCTCTGGGGACTTTGGGAGTGGCGTCGGGTGGGAAGACGAGGAAGAGAAAGAGACTGAGGAAGCCGGCGAGGAGGCCGAGGAGGAGGAAGGGGAGGCGGGAGAGGCCGACGACGGAGGCTACATCTGGTAGAAGCCGCCGAGGGCACAGTTTGGTCAGGATGCTGGCTGCAGGGCTGGGAGACGGCCGTCGAAACCCGAAGGAGAGGAACAGCTTAACAAGATGATCAGGAAACACAGTTGAATGTAACTAACTATGGCAGAACATGTTGTGTGTGCGTGTGTGAGTGTATGTATGCACCTGCCTGGGTGAGTCCATTCTCCTTACATGGCCGTGGGGATTATCTTGTTTCCCACCCCCCAGCTTAGCAGAGATCAAAGCTGTATCAAAGCAAAATGGGAAAGGGGGCAAAGTATTCTGCACTGTAGGTTCGGGTGGTCTTTTTATATATATAAATATATTTAAAAAATGTAATTTAATTTAATGTTTAAATTGTCTTATCACACATTTCCGCTCGTAGCCAGACCCCCAAATATGTTTACCTGCCCCATCATCTTTCGTGTTATGGTTCCTAGCAATAGCTTCCAATAATTTACACATTGTTAGGTATGTACACCCTGGTGCACCAGATTGCTTTCAAGCACATGCTCTGCAAGCGCCCAGGAGCTCTGCCAAGCATTCCTGGGTCTTCGTTGCAATGGAAGAGGTGTGATCACCTGGACTTCGGCTGACAGGTCAGGGATGAAGAGCAGCCCCTTTCTCTTCCTTGGAGCATATGTTAGATCCATATCAGGCTGGGACATGTAGCACAGCGCTGGTTGCAAACTTGGCTAGCATATCACGGACTTCTCAGACACCGAGAGGGTCCTGCAAAATCCTACCTCCCTGGAATATTCCCCACAGGCGGCTTGGCATCCTCGTATTGATTTAAGAACCAACAGGTGATCACAGGGTTGTGCCCGCCAATTTCGAGGGTCCCATTGCAAACTTGTCTCAACTTTATCTCTGGTCACTGTAGAATAATGGGCTTCCATATGGCCTCTCGGTGCCCTGGCAGAGTGACAGAGGCATTTGGGCACACAATTGGCTGAGAAACACATTGTTATTTTTTTTAAAAAAAGGAGAAATAACATTATTGATTGTGGAATGCAAATTTGTGGGGCAGGCTAGGGTAACCGACGGCAAAAAGGCATCCGTAGCTAGGAACAAAGTTCCCATGACGAGAAAGGGGGACCCATCATCCGCCAACAGCAAAACAGCCACCCCAGGAGGTCTGCTTCCGAATGATTTGGGTTGCAGTGTGGCGTTGCTATTGGCTGCTTTGTTTCTAGGTAAAGATGCTCTTTTCTACATTCTTTTCCAGGTCAGGGGAACTGTAGGCTTTTCGCCTGGGTAGGGTGCACCCATGGCAAACTTTAAATTCTCCTTTGAAAGAGACAGGCGTCCCACTGCTGCTGCATTTGGACGCACCCACTGCTTTGTGGGCCTGGGTTCCTGCAGGTGTGAGATTCTGTGTGTGAGTGTGTTGCGAGTGCATGGGTGTTGCGGCCACGGGTGCCCTCACGCAGTGTGAGCAGATGGCGGGTGTTTGTGTGTGTGCGTGCTTGGAGAATGAGGGAGGGCCAGCTTGGCTTATTACATTGAGCATTCCAGAGCTTACGCAAAAACTGTGCTTCCGGTAGAGCCATCTAGGCTTTCTGTGCGGCTCCATATCCTTCAAATACACACACAAAAATATGAATAACTGTGGGATTTTTATTTTTTTTAACGTGAGCTAAACCTCCCAGTGAGCCCGGCCACATGCTTGCGGTGGCACCATAACAGAGAACACTTGTGTAGCCCAGCTGTGATAATAAACAAGCCTTGCTGTGTCGACCTCTCTTAACCTTCCTTCTTGCCTAGGCTTTTCCCTCTCTATTTGTCTCTGTCTATATACACACCCGCACGCTTCACACCCCTCCTTTATTCCACTATTTCTTCTACTTTTCTGCAGAGAGAATAATAGATTATGACCGAGCGAGACTTGGAACTTGTCACTGCCAGGAGGGAGTGGCCTTCGCAGTCCATGTCCTTTGGGAAATTCCTCCTCTTCCTCCTTAGACTTTGCATTGTTGTACCCTCCCCCCTTCCCTTTCTGCTGCAAAGAGATCCATTTGCATCTTGTTAATACACAGAGTCACAGAATTGTAGAGTTGGAAGGGACCCTGAGGAACATGTGGCCCAACCCCCTGCAATGCAAGAGTATGCATCTGTCCTATATAGGGATTGAACCTGCAACCTCAGCATCAGTGACTTACTCAAGCTTTGGTTTCTGGAAAGCCCCTCTTTGAGGGCTCCTCCACTGTTGTTGCCTCCTCCCCCCTTCTGCCTGTGTGTCTGGGACTGAATTTCCCAGTTGTGCATGTTTAAATAACATGTAAATACATCTTTTGAATCCGGGAAGCAAATTTTTGCTAACTTGACTAGGCAGGGCAGCATCCCAAAATGAATGCGAAGGGGAAGAATTGCCCATCTATTTGGACACAGGAGTGACCAGGATGGGGTGTTTTAATGGATGGCACAGTGGTGGCAGCAGGACCAAGTCTGTGCAGACATGCCAGGGGGAGCGGTGTTGGCTCTGCCTGTATTCCTTGCACAGCCCCCGCCTCTCCCTGCCAACCTGGTTTCCCCCATCCAGGGAAGCAGCAATGATGTTGCCCCTCCACACCAGACACTATTGAATACTGTAGAACTGCGGGGGGGACGGACGGACAATTTTGTGTGTGTGTGTGTGCTTGCTGTGTTGATAACAAGGCTTATGGTTGATGATTGCTTGTCCTCCTTGACACCTTTGACGACAGCCTTGGAGACGGATGATAGGGCTTTGTTTTGTCTCCAGAGGGCTGAAGGTAGAATGGCAGACAAATGGTGGCCCATGATTGATCCTCATTCCCAGCGTTGTGTCTGATCACAGGTTTTTGTAGGTTTTGGCTGTCAAGAACTGCTCAAAAACCAACTTCTCAAAAATGTATTGCATCGACTGAAGACAAAGGAATGAGTGTCAGTGCCATGGAAAACGATAAGTCAACCATGCCACTTTCAACTCTCTTTTTAAGAACAATTTTCTCTCTCCAGGTTGTCTAGCTCTGCCCAGTTTTGAAAGAAAAACTTCCCCATGGGACAAAAGACGTACTTATTCGCCAATGGAAGAGAAACCTCTCCATTTTCTTAAGGGGAGTTAAAAAGTAATTGGAGAGCATTTTTTCTTCTTCTAGGGTAGCAGAAGCAGAAGATACGTCATCCCAAATGACGTCCGTAGGAGAAACTCTTGCCGTCCCTGTAGGGTTCACCTTGTCAAGTGGACTTGGGTGCAGAATTAAAGACTTCCTGTTTCTCCTTTGGGTTGCCAACTCCTTTCCTAACAGAGAGCAGAGAAATACTGCAGGAGCAAACTTCCCAATCACTGTGACTTCATGACTGGCAGTGTGGGGATTAATTTATCTGTAGCGCTTCTCCTGTCATGCAGCTGTTCAAAGACATGAGAGCAAGACTTTGTGTCGAGTTAGTTAATCGAATCTCAGCTCCCCGAACCTTTTTGCTAGGGTTAAACTTTAAGAGTATGTGGATTAGTCCAAATAACTTCTGAGCATGTGCAATGCCCCTTCCTACTGGGTAATCTGAAATAGGCCTCTTTCACATATCTGGGATTACATGGTAGGTCTTTCAAGATAAGAGGCTTACTTTTGGAGCAGGCTTGAATCTCAGGGCAGGGTCCTGCTGGGGAAAGGAGTTGGCAACCCTTGACTTTGCTTAGATTTCACTGGGGTTGGTTAGATCATCCCAGTTTTTCAAAATCTCACTCTTTTCTTCCAAACCTGCAAGCTAGTCTGAATGTTGTAAATAAGGAAACAACACTTGGCGCATGCACGCCCTCTCTCTGTCTCTCGCGCACACAAGTTCTTCCTCTTCACAGCTTTGCTTTCCACACCACGTTCGCCCCATCAATGCTGTTTGTTTTCAATAAGAGCAGGAACTGTCTTAGGCAGCCTGGGAATTCAACACCAGAGACGACTTAAAAGAAATGAAAAAGAAAGAGTCTCTTCCCCGAGGGAAGCAGCTAGGATATCATCACCATATCAAGCAGCCATGCCAGCGCTGGAGCTGTGTGTATCAGGCAGTTGTGACAACTTCACCTGTTTTGCCATCTCTGTGCTGGCAGAGAGGGAGAAGAGACAAGCGAGGAAGCCTCTTATCATACCGTATCAACCAGATTCGGATTTCTGAAAATACCAGGCTGCATTGCCGCCATTTTATTTATTTTTTCATGCATTTACTTGAGCCCTGTGCAAATAAGAAAGAGCAAGCCTGCTTTGGAGCGTAAGTATGTAATGTTTTGGTTGCTTCAACAAATTGGCCAAAGGGGTCTCCCTAATAGCAGGTGCTCCTCTTCTTGGTTGCTTGTCTCCATACATTTTTAGGTTTGCCCCTAAGATGATCACATTTTTAGGTGTACGCTGACACGAGCGACTGTAGTATGGCGTTCATAGCATGTTTTGAATCTGTGTGTCATCTGAGTGCTCTTGTCAAGGAACTGTGATTGGCAGCGACTACCTGGCGAGTGTGCCCTCAGTAGCAAACCCAGATTTGCCTTTATGTAATGTATGAAACAGCCCTACGGGCCTGGTCCTTGCTGTTTTGAGCTGGTGAAGTCCTCTTTCTATTCTTTTGAGCTTTGAGGATCAAGCTCCCCTGATCCTCCCTGGGAGAGCTCAGGTGGGCAAGAAATTGCCTTCCATTGGAACCCCTTACCGGCCGATGATCAGAGGACAAATGAATATATCTGGAAGAACTCTTGGTTTTCATGTGTGCAAATATTATTTTCCCTTGATCTTCATTGATTCTGGATGCTGGAGGGGAAGGAAATGGACCATTCTTCTTCTCCAGAGTACAGCTGAAAAGAATTAACATCCAAGGGAAGGAAATCTTTGCAATGCATTAAACTCCTAAGACTGCAGCTATCCATTTCATCCAAAGGTTCTTATATTCAGAAGTGACTTCAATTCATTTTAAAATGTGGAGCGTAGGCTGCAGTTCTTGAACCACCTCCTCAAAAGTTGGCCAATGGCCATTGGGATGTGTTCCTGTTCTGATGCTTTCATGCACAAACGTCGTGTAGAGCATGTGACTTGAAGATGGCAGCCAAAGGTTGCAGTTCCCTTAAGCACACTTCAGAAGTGAGTTCAGTTGGAAGTGACTTCCATATCCAGCACTCATTTTGTGCAACAGCCAGAGGTGTGCATCCCAGTCTGCACCAACAACTGAAACCTGCAAGTCCATTAAGTTCCAGATGAGCCCTGAGATGTGGATCAAAACACTCATCCACATTGGCTGTAGTGTGTCTGCTTCTACATAAGGGATTCCCTTCATGTTGTATCAAGACAATTGTGTTAGTTACTGGGGGAGTTAGGCTCACAGGTGTGCTGCTTTTGAAATTTGCCCTGTACACAAACACACCCCTCTTCTTCCCTTTAGTGTACAAATCTCAAATAGATCATTTCTACACATTTATCGCAAGTCTCCCCACACCGAACAAATGAAAGTAGCTCTGTCTAGTCCACTCTATTAAACCTTTCTCTCTTCTCTGTATTGAATCTCAGCTCAGTGTTGATGGAAAGAATGTGTATTTTTAAAGTGTTAAAATGAGTTGATTTTTTTTTTGAAAGGGGAAAAAAACCAACAGCATTTTACGCTTAACAAACCAGAATCGAGAAACAAACTCGCCTATAGCCTGATAACATATTTAAGTCTTATGTGCAATAATAACTTCTGAACTTTATAGCGTTAAACATCGTGTTCAAGTGCTTTGATTTCAGTTTGTATATTTCAGTGCTGCAAGTGTATCTCGGTAATTCTAGACGATTAAAAATGAAACAACAAAAAAAGTGTTAGAACGTATGTGTGTGCATATGGTGGGCGCTGGAACACCAGCGGGGGCAAGCCTGCCCAAGTTGAAATCCTACTGCGGCCTTTGCTAGTCTCGTGCCCTCCGGATATCCACTTTGGACTACAGTTCCCATCAGACCCTGCGTGGGCCTGATGGGAGTCCAGGACATTCGGAGGGGGCCATGTTGGCAAAAGCTGTCCAGTTGGTTCCAATGGGAAAGTTTAAACACTTCCTTCCACCGAAATAGTTCTGGGACTTTAAAGAGCTCAACTTGGGCGAGACCTTGCCCCCCAGGCTCCTTCTGTTCCTAGGGCGCCCTCTCCCCTCCCTCCCAGCTGTGACACTCCTGTGTCGCTTTCCCGGCGGCTCCCTGGGAAACTGTTTCACATTGTTGGTTCTCTGCCTAATAACTTAACTTACTTAACCTAAGGAAACAAGTACACACGTACACCATTCCAAGAAATGAATACAACCTTATTTTTTAAAAAAAGAAAATAAAAATTTATAAACATCACTCCGTTGTGGTTTGTAATGGCACTGGGGAGGGGATTGGGATCGGGGAAGAGTTTGAGAAGATGGAAGGGTGCTGACGTCTGCTAGCAAAAATGCCCACCTGTTGGGCTTCACCTGGCTGTGGCACTTCCAAGATGAATCCCCACTTCTTGCCGTCTGCTAGCTTAGGAAAGACATTTCTGTGATTTGAGCTGGGAGGCGGCCTCAGAACTGCTTTGGAGGGGCAGAACAGCTCAATGGGCGTATGCAGTCATATGGGTAAATGTGGAACTCCTACAGCAGAGATGGGGAGGGTCTGGTCCACAGACCAAATGTGGCTCTCCTGGCACACCCAAAACTTTAGGCCGTGTCACATTGCAGGCCCGAGCCAGCCTCAAGTAAGCGCCTAAACTACAGTTGCCGTGTTTCAAAAAGTAAAAACCAGGACAGCCCAAAAGTTGTTGAGCCTTGACACTCTTCCCATCAGCCTGGAGTGCTTTTCAAAGCATCTCCCCCAACACACCCCAGAGCACATCTTGCAGGAGGGTTGGGGGAACCAACAGGTTTCCAGATTTGGGTGGGCTACAACTACCTTCATCCTCAGCAACTGGCCGTGCAGGTGGGAGGTGGCGTCGACTAAGCTCTGCTGGGCCACAGGTTCTGCATTCCTATGTTACAAAATATTCACCTGGTGGAGAATCTGCTCTACCTCGATGGTAGCATTCGGAAGCAAGTACTGTGCAGATCTCTGCCATCCACACTGCAAAGCTCCAATGCTCCTGGCAGTCCTAATGATTGCGAGAGAATAAGAGGCGACAAAGGCTGTCCTTGCTCTGCCAGATAAGCAGTCCTGGCTTGCTGGCGAGGATTCGGTTTTCTGCTCTCACATAAAGCCACAAGGAAAAAGGGAGCGATGCCAACTCAAAATGGGAACGAAGCGTTGAGTCGCCGCTGCAGAACGCCAAAGGCCTCTTCCTGCTGCAGTGTGGGCACATTGCTCACTGTCACTCTGCGGCGGCCGTTGGCAGGCCGCGAGCCAAGAAAGCCACAGAGGATTTTTCTTTCTCCTTGCTTTCCCATTATCGCCAGGCCAAGACTTCGCAAGTTGCAGCTGTCCCCTCAGCTGCCTGCATTTCTAGGCCCACTTCCAGGGCCTGAACAGTGACGGGCCTGTTTGCCGAGGCTTCACATGGACAGCACCTGCAGAGAGAGTTAACTCCTTGGCTTCTCAGGGGCTCGTGCCGTGTTGCATTTTATATGAAGAAAATAGGCTTCTGGACACCAAAGGCATGCAACTTCCACTTTTGTCTATTGAGCATGCCAGGTCAGTCCTAGTATGGCAGCAGGTTGAGGCGACCTGCTTTGAGCAGGGCCCAGGATGAGGGTGGTGGGAAATCAGGTGACACGTCCTATTTTGCCGGCCGAGGCAAAAGGGAAACGTATAATAATAATAATAATAATAATATATTATTTATACCCCGCCCATCTGGCTCAGTATCCCCAGCCACTCTGGGCGGCTCCCAATTGAGTGTTAAAAACAATACAGCATTAAATATTAAAAACTTCCCTAAACAGGGCTGCCTTCAGATGTGGCCCTGAACCCTTACCTGGGTTTCACAGCGGCTGCTGCAAAATGACAGCAGTTCCCAGCGAGAATTCACTGAAATCTTGCAAGATCTTCCCAGATCTTGCCAGCACCACTTCTGCTGTGGGGCAGAGGGAGCACTGTCTCTTGGGTTTCTGCTGCCTGAGGCGGCTGCTTCAAGTTGCCTCATGGGCGAGCTGGCCCTAGGGGGAAATAAAGACATGAATGTCTGACTCTGAGTGGAGCAGCAAGACTATTGTTCTGGGGAACTCTGCTTCAGGTGGCAAAATGTATTGGGCCAGCACTGTACAACCAGGAAAGGCGATTAACAGCTCACGTACCAATATGGGGGTGCAGACACAGGACACTCTGACTATTATGAGACAGACTCTTTGGAGAAAGACATAGAAAGAGGAAAAACCAGGAGGCACCTCCCATTTCCCCCTAAACCAAACTTTCCAGGCCTCTGTTGGGTAAAGTTCTTGTCTGGTCAAGGACCCTACAGGGGAGGGAACATGCAGCAATGGGACTAGGCGAGTGCTGTTGCCCCAACAAGCTGTCTGCTACTGATGGGAGGCAATGGGACATCAGGGATGGAATATGCAACAAATTGAAGAGCAACAGCACATACTAGGGCTCTGCAGAGAAGCGTTTATGTGGAATGCGCTGCCCTGCAAATAGTTGAGGTATTCCTTCAGTTCTTCTCCAAATTGTCTCAGGGCTGTGCCTAATAAGAGGCCTGGGTATTTTTGCCCTTGGATGTCCGTCACACTGGATTTCAAAGTGTAAAGTGAGATGCAGCCCTCGGTTGTTATGGGCACTTGGAACCGCACCAGCGAAGCTTCTAGGCTGCGCCGTGATCACAGCATGTCTCGTTTTCAAACAGCAGTTTGGCTCTCCGTTGACTCTGCCTCTCAAAGCTTGTATCTTCCTGGCACCAACTTCCAGGTGGCTGGTTCTGGCAGCCGGCTTCTCACAAGCAATATCAAATATCAGATGAATCCTTTTTGCCTGGTTTGTTTCCCCGAGACTTTGGGTTCCAATGGAAGGCTGGCGCCAGCAACATTTTCCAATGTCATTTTGTCTGCTGCCTGTCCAAACGCTTGAGGCAGCGGATAACATAGACTCACACTCAAAAAATAAAAAGCCTGCCAGATAAAACATCCTTAGTTAACAACAGACAATAGGCACTTCCCCCCAGTGAGTAGTGATGTAGGCTTTCTGGAAAAAACTGAACGAGAAAATTTTCTAATGCAAATTAGGGCAAGTTTGGAATTTTTTTTTACTTTGCACTGAAATATTTTCTCATGCCCCAGGCTGTGATTTAATTAAGCATATTTCCTTTACTTGCAGTTAGCAAACAAAAGTAAAACCTGTGAAAATATCAAGCTTGCCTAATATTTAATTTGCAGTTGGCACCCATTAATTGCTACTAATGAACCCAGGAAACAAAACTTTCTGTGGGAAAATAGAGCAGTGGAAAATTTTCAGCCCCATATCACTGCCTGTAAGGTTACAAATTTCCCTAAAAGATGTGCTTGATATTCCTTTTCAAAAGTCAGGAGAGCAGGGCTTGACCAAACTTCCTGCATTAGACTGCTCCATAGTATGGAGGCAACCACTATGAAGACCAAGCATTACCCCAAAGGTGTTCTTCATCCTTCCCCCATTACAGAGAATTTGAACGGTCTTTGCAAAATATCAGGCAACAAGTTCTGCAATTTTAAAAAATGCAACAGAAAATGAAACAGACATTAGAAGATTGTAATAGCAAAAATGAAATATTACATTGCAAAAACCAGTATATACTGTAAAAGATAGAATAAATCTATTTGTACACAAAGTAGGGAAGGGGCCTTAGAGTTAATAGTCTATTGCTCCTGGGCAGTTAGCACACACAGGTTTTGTCTAGACAGCCTGTTCACTGAGCACTCATTCTGATTCAGTTGCACAAACATGGAAACTAGACAATGCCCAATCTTTATGTAGCATTCATTCTGATTTGTTTGCAGGCTACTTATATAGCAATATATAATAGTTTAAAAGCACGTCAAAGTGCAAGTAGATAAATAGGTACCGCTCCGGCGGGAAGGTAAACAGTGTTTCTGTGCGCTGCTCTGGTTTCGCCAGAAGCGGCTTAGTCATGCTGGCCACATGACCCAGAAGCTGTACGCCGGCTCCCTCGTCCAATAAAGCAAGATGAGCGCCGCAACCCCAGAGTCGTCCGTGACTGGACCTAATGGTCAGGGGTCCCTTTACCTTTTTATATAGCAATAAACCAACTCCCCTGCAATTATTTGTTCACTTGAATCCCTCCCGCAAAACAGTGGCAGCCTGGAGGCACAAACAGTCAAACAACGTCTCCCAGGGTGCCGGAGAGACTGCGGGCAACACAGAGCGCTTATACACATGTGGTGGAATTGTACGAAAAGCAATGTCTTTCTGGAAAACACCATTCAGAAGAAAGTAGCATACCATGTGGAAGAAACAGTAACGACACAAGCAGTGGTGGTGCCACCCTTAATTTTGTTCAGTGTAAAGGATAACAAAAACAATGCTGTAAAATATCTAAAATGCTTGCTAACGTCACACTGTGAGGCAAGCTATTGCCTAACTCCGGAAACATGCAGATGGTTTGTCGAGAGACAAATAGTAGGGGGAATTATGGCAGGTGGCCCCGTCAGGGAAAATGACACATCCATTGACAGGACAAGGAGACCGACCATATGGAAAGATTCCCTGGTTTCATTTTCTGCTTAAGCTCCACACAAACCCCACAAATTTTAAAAGCAAACGGGGGTAGGAAATCTCCAGATCATGGGCCAAACCTGGACCACCAGGCTCCTCATTTGGACCTGCAAAGCTGCTCTGGTGAAGCCAGGCCTGCACACCCTATACCTGATCTCATACATACACGACATCCCAGGTGTGGGACAGGTAAGGGCGGGTTGGAGTGGTCTCCTGAGTTCTACTATGCTGGAGCAAAGCATCTCTCTCCGCTGCTCTCTGAACTAATCCCACGCTGCTCCTTTCCACCTCCATTTTTTTTTTAAACCCCTGGGGCTTCAAAGTGCAGCATATATATTGGAAGCCAAACTGTGATCCTTGGATGAAGGGTAGTACAGAAATTTAATGGATTAAAAAGAAATATTAGAATCACCTGATGTCCCAAGGTTTGGAGAGATAATGGTCTGGCTCCCCAGCCGGAATCGGTTCTCTTCCCCTGATTTAAAGTGGATGGCCTTGAAATGATGGAACAAAGACTAATCTTTGGGAAGTTTTTCATGTTTGACATATTATTATTATTATTATTATTATTATTATTATTGCTGGAAGCTGCCCAGTGTGGCTGGGGGAAACCAGCCAGATGGGTGGGGAATAATAATAATAATAATAATAATAATAATAATAATAACAACTTACCTAGATAACCCCTCCCCCAAAAGTCCACGATTCTACCTGCTAAAGGAATTTCCTCTTTGACCACTCCACCTTCTGTCACTTGGAAACAACACTATGAAGGATAAAGGGAAACAACTGTTCTTAAAGAAGCACGACTGTTCCCAGACGGAGGTACCTTTTCCATCATGTTCATGTGAACGGCATTTTTTAAAAAATTATAGCACATCTCTGTTCCACCATGTCGAGGCTGCCGCAGTGAATGCCCTAGTTTTGCCCATTCTAAAATTAGGTAAGGTGAAGAATGACGACATACACACATCAACAAACAAGTTCATCTTCATAAAATGAAAACGGTGTTCAGCTGCCTAGTCACCCCCCTCGGAAGACGGCCCCGTTCTTCTCTGATCTCGGCTGCATGCTTCCTGTGGGCATCCCTTCTTCTGAGAACGTGCTACCCAAATGTGCCTAACCTCTTCTCTAAGGGGGGAGGCCATGCATGGCTCAGCAGCGTCCCAAGGCAGCAGATGCGAACTGCTGACCAGTCGCTTTCCTCTGCTCTCAGGAGCGCTTTGTGGAGTTCACAGCTCAAGGGCTTTAGCACAGCACACAGCAGTTGACATCCCCTGGCCAGAGTCCCAGTTGGCTAATCATTTTCCGCCTGGTCATGACATATTTGTAGGAGAGGGAGAAGTGTGGTAGATTTATCAAAGTGGCGCAAAGGGCTTAGAGGCTTTTCTATGAGGGCCTGTATGTGCCGGACTGCACAGTACATCCTGCTCACAATTTATGTCCCTCCAACCCGCCCGCCCCGCTGACCTCAGCAGCACACGCGTTACAGCAGCCTTTGCCAACCTGGTGCCCTCCTAGTGTTTTGGACTACAACTCCCATCAGCCTCAGACAGCAGCTTAGCAAAACCCACACAGAGATAATAGTCTCTTGTGACTAGCGATGGCCAAATCTGTCCATTTTGGTTTCTCTCAAATTTCTCACCTTTCCCATCTTAAGTTCAGCTCTTCACATTTCCATGTCAGTGTGCAAAATAATAATAATAATAATAATAAAAATCATCATTTTGGTGTGAATTTCTTCTAATATAAACATTTCTGTATGCAATTTTGCCCGATACACACATTTTCGCATTGCAATTTGCCCAGATTTAACGTATTTTTGTATGTCATTTTCACTAACAGATGTGTTTTTTTATTTTGTAGTTTTATGTTGTGGCCCACCCCAAGCTACAGGTATAGAGCGGTCTACAAATTCAGTAAATAAAAGAAAAAGAAAATTTCATGCATACTTTACCCAGTATACACATTTATTGTAAAACTTGCTTCGCTAAAGGCCTGCACCGCAAAATTTGGAGAAGTGTGAATTTCAAAGGATGGCTACATTTTGCCCCGGCTTTAAATGCAAAATGAATTGACTCTCTTTTCCCTACTTGTCGCACACTAAATATGAACCATTCACAGTGGTATAAGCTGTCAGGGGCCAGAGCCCACTTCATCAGATGTGACTAAGAGGACTCCAGTCAAGTCCATGGATGGATCATAAAAAGGCTTGTCTTTAAGGTGCTTCCAGACTCTCTGGGTGCTTCCAGACGCCTGCTATTTTCAGGTGGGATTCAATTGCATACTGGCAAATTCAGGTTGCACAGTTGAAGTTGATCGGGCAACTCTTGAGCAACAAACCCGCCACCACCACCAATCCACTCCTACAAACAGGACTTATTGCAATATGGAAAGCGAGGAGAAAAGTGTGAGATAACACTTGCTTGACCCAACGTCATATACTTGCAACCGCAAACGAATCTGAATGCTCACAAAAGAGCCAACCTCATCTAACCTCCTTCACGAGGATGAATGCTGAAGAGAGAGAGAAAGCGGGGAAGCAACATTTGCAGTCTTTGCTGCATCCGATTAGCACATCCGATTAGGACTCTGGTGGAGGTTGGTCCAGCGTATGTCAAAAAGGACTCTGCATTCTGGGTCACACCTTCTCAAACAGAGGCTGTGTCCACCAGCAGATCCACATGTCAATATTTGGGTCCTCTGCTGCTTTCTCCTGCTGCAAGCACAACCTTGAGGAATTCCACAATCCAGCGGTGGCCTGTGCCCAACAAGACTCATAGGGAGGGCAGCTGGGCAGCCCGATGACAGAAACAGCCAACTATTCCCAGCTTTGCTGTTATCTTGGAGTCAAGTATAAAACTCCCCAGTGGCTTACCCCAGGCTACGTTTAGCATGATACTAGCACAGCATGAAAGGTGTCCTATCTTGTGCCTAACGGCTGCCAACCCCAACCCCATAACAACACCCTGTGGCTTCCACTGCCCAAAGGAGGACCTTATAAGGTGCCGTTGTCACGAAAGAACCATTTTGTGGGCTTACTTTTTTTTAATTGCCTGGGCTATGTTTAGCCCGCAAGCCCTCCTCGGGGAAAGGGTGAGGCTAATCCCAGCTCGGTTCATTACGGGCTGTCGCTCGGTTCATTACTGGAGCTTATTATCCGAGCAGCCACCAGCATGCCAACGCCTTGGGCATTTGCCTGCGTTTCCTGGAGGGCTCACCTAGGTGACAAGTGCTGACACCTTGGCAGCTCCCCTGGGTGACAGGTGCTACTGACACCTTGGCAGCTGCTGGGAAAATTCATCTGTTTGCTTCTGTAACGGGGACATCTCTGTAGGAGGCCAAGGTGAGGCAAAGGGGTGATGGGTAAGGCTGCTATTTATGTGTTTGTTTTGATGGGTTTTTATGCCCCCTACGGGGCAGAGGAGGGGAAGCCCAAGGGCCACATTCCTTTCTGTGTGCAATCTTCCGGAGGTCACATGCTAGAGATGGGCGGGGCCAGAAGCAAAAGTGGGTGGAGCAACGGGGGTAAGTTTTGTCAGAAGGGGATGAGACCATCAGCCTGAAAAGTCCCCTTCAGAGCCTTGAGGAAACTCCTTGCACAATGTATTATGCAAAATGACATGTACAGACATCATGGACTGGTTGGACACAGAGGAATGGTGGGAGGAACCAGCTAAGGAACGCCTAAGGGAAGAAGCCCGGGGACTGTTGGTGGGATGGCTACGAGTGGTCAGAGGGAGAAGACTGGGAGGAGTTGATGTCGGAAGCTGAAAAGGTAACAGGGTTTAGTGAGAGGGAAAAGGCTGAGACAGAGGGAAGTTCAGAAGCTGAGGCAGGAGAGGAGGGAGGCCAAGAGGCAAAGATGACTCTGGCTGAGGATGAAGAAGCCAGAAGGTCTCCCCCTCCTGCCAGTGTGGTGTAGTGGTTAAGAGTGGTAGTCTCATAATCTGGGAAACCAGGTTCGAGTCTCCGCTCCTCCACATGCAGCTGCTGGGTGACCTTGGGCCAGTCACACTTCTCTGAAGTCTCTCAGCCCCACTCACCTCACAGAGTGCTTGTTGTGGGGGAGGAAGGGAAAGGAGAATGTTAGCCGCTTTGAGACTCCTTAAAGGGAGTGAAAGGCGGGATATCAAATCCAAACTCTTCTTCTTCTTCTTCTTCTGTGACCAGCTCCCCTCCCCCAGTCTCCCAGAACCAGAAGATGCATGAAGAGGGAGGAGCAGAGACAAGCACATCGGCATAGTCTCTGATTGCTTGGGAAGGACCCTGGGAAGGCAGGGACCTTCCGTCTCAACAACTGCTTCATGGGGGCCAGACCTACCAGAGTTGAGTTGCTGTGCTCATTAGGCCTGACGCTCCACCAGGTCCTTGCAGAATGTGTTTTTTGCTAATAAAGTTAACTCCAACGTGCATGGTACGATTTACTGCCGTCACTTCTGACAACGGCAGAATATAGTATTATTTGGGGGAAAGCAGGTTGAAAAGCAAAAGGAAATCAAGAATGAAATCACGAAATCCCAGCTGCTAAGATATATACTGCAGCCATCCTGGAAGACCTTTGCTGAAAATAAAGGCCCTCCTGCCCAAGAAGAGGCGGCTGAGGCAAAGGCCACCTGAGATCCTCCAGCATCAGCACAGCAGCCAGGGAGGACCTTCCAGAGCCGCAGCTGCCATCTGAGGGACTAAGCATGCTCACCAGGAAACCAGCAGAGAGGCTAGCATTAGCTAGTAGCGTCTTCCCTGTCCCTCGAGTGGCGACGGGCTGTCGCTTTCCGAAACCTCCATCCGGCTGATGTGGCCTCCAGTGCCTAACACTGAACCGGCAAGGCAAAACAACAAGCTGGGGAAGCGACAGATCGCTCTGCTCAGTTTCCGCAGGGAGCCAGGGCAACGGCTGGGCTGCAGGTGCGTCTGTCATTGGGCACCAGCTCCCCTCATCCCTGGCCAGCTGGCTGGGGCAGGTGGGAGTTATAGTTCAGCGGCACCTGGAGGGCAAAGGTTCAACACTCCCGCATTAACGTGAAGTGGTTTTGTTTTGAGAGTCTCATGGTCTCCCAACTGAGCAGCTGTGCTGCCTGCAAATCAGGGGTGGGCAACCTGTGGCACTCTGGGCATTGCAGGAGTCTGCCTCCCACCAGTCCCAGCCAGCATGCCCAATGTTCAGGGACAATGGGAAGTGGAGTCCAAACAGGGCTGGGGAGTGTCCCCAGTTCCCCACCCCTGAAACAAGCAGAACCCGGCCCAGTGAATTGCAGGGGTCACGGTTGATGCTGCGAGATCCCACCCCACATCATTCTTCCTCTGCCCCAAATATACAGGTTAGGCTGTGATGCTTTATTCTCCCCTTCCATTTCCTGCAGCCCCAGCGTAACAGAAATACGCTGCACAGTCTTAACTTGGAACATTGCAGGGCACCCACAAATCCTATTTGGTGGGAGGCTACACAAATACATCAGACGGAATAATATCCACAATAACAAGCAGTAAATTCACTCCCGAGCCCAAACTTAAAAGAGCACCTAGACAGGCACAATATACTAC